ACATGGCAGATTGAAGACCAACCGTAGATATCAAAATTTGATCTACGGTTCCATTTCCAAATTTGACCTACGGTTCCATTTCCTTACTCGAATATATCTGCTCTTCCGGTAATTCTTCAGTCAGTATGTTTCTTATTCTATTCTTATGAAGAGCTTGGGGACAGTTCACAATTGTCATAATCAAAAACCTCAAAATACTGTTCAATGAAGTGGATTGGTTGGGTGAAAGAGCACGGACCTATTAGTGGATTGGTTGGGTGAAAGAGCACGGACCTATACGATAATGTATTTAAAGAATGCTAACAGAGTAAATAATTATGTATATCTTTGTTTTTTTCCTATCCGTGTCTTTCTTTACTAAATGTGGCTAACATTGAACCCCCGCCGGTGGCTCAGTGTTAAATCCGATGACTTATAACGCTAAAAATCGGGTTTTGATACCCGCGGTTGGTAGAGCACAGATAACCAATTGTGTAACTATGTGCTTAACAACACACAAGCAGAAAAACAAATAAAACACTCCACATCAGGTCTTATATTCCAAATTTTTTTATGTTCGATAAAAGGGTTGGGTGGGTCTTGGAATTATGAAACAGTGTTCGATAATTTTAGAGTGAGAATTATGAATGGTCCCTTAGTTGCATGCGACATTAAAGCTCACCGTTCTATATAGTATTGGTCAATTTCTAAGTGATCCCCTTTTTTGGATATTGGCACAAAAACTGCTCGTCTCCAATCCTCATTCGATATCCTTTTATAAGTTTCTGGCTTATATTAATTCGTACCTCTTAGCGTATTTCAACAACTCTGTTGGTGTCTGGTGCTTTGCTGGTGTCTTGTCAATGTCTGGTGCTTTGCTAGTGTCTTGTCAGTGCCTGGTGCTTTGCTGGTGTCTTGTCAGTGTCTGTTGCTTTGCTGGTGTCTTGTCAGTGTCTGTTGCTTTGCTGGTGTCTTATCAGAGTCTGGGGCTTTTCTGGTGTCTAGTCAGTGTCTGGTGCTTTGCTGGTGTCTTGTCAATGTCTGGTGCTTTGCTAGAGTCTTGTCAGTGCCTGGTGCTTTGCTGGTGTCTTGTCAGTGCCTGGTGCTTTGCTGGTGTCTTGTCAGTGCCAGTTTTTGTTGTTTCATGGCCTTTTTCTACTTTTACCCGTCCTGGTTTTGGCTCCACCTATACATTGCTGTTTGCCATTTCATTCATTAACTCTTCTGTGTTTGTCAGGTGATTTACGTGAGTCCTCACAGCGTTCTTTCCATCTTCATCCTTCGTCAGTATTTTCCCCGTCTTTATCTTTTTATCACATTCAGTCTCGAGCTAACTCCATGTGGTAGCTATCTTGAAACTTCACATATCACTTTTCAGTTACTTCTTTTATCGCGTTCTTCCGTCTCTTTGTACTTTCGTGTAATATATTCTTTCTTGTCCTTTCAGACGCTCCAATGGAAACCTCTATTGAGCTCTCTATGATGTTATAGGTTTATCTTCATATTTTCCCGAGATATATCCTTTTTTTAGCAACTTACAGTATTTTATCCAACGCCCACGGAGTACGAATTCTTGTTTTTGTTTTGTTTTTTTCTCAGTAAACCCCCTTGCTAGGTTTTATCTATCTACTTGGTCTTTTTCCCATAATTCGTTTCCTCCTCTTCTCCCCTCCGTGAATGCTACAAACCTATTTCTGAGAGATAACACATATTCAGCAAACGTTGTTTTTATTATTGTTATTTTATCGGTGGTATTTCTCTTCTTCTTCTTCTTTTGCAATTGGATTTCATTTGAACCTTTACATGCAATAGTTGATCATCACCGCCACAACCATAGGCCTTTGCTGTAATATAGTCTTCGTGCACTTTGATAAATTACGACTTTAGTCACTTTTTATGCTTATCACAAGTTTTCTTATTATTTCTTAAAACACAAATAACTCATTGCAAACAAACTTCGTCATAAATTTATTTATTTGTTGTTAAGCACAAAGCTACACAAAGGTGTGCTTTGCCCACCACAGATATCGAAACCCGGTTTTTAGCGTTATAATCCCACTGACTTACCGCTGAGCCAATGGAGAGGGGAACCTTAATAATAAGATTAACGCCTATTGGAGTGTGTTTTATTCAGATTTTAAACCACGTAATTTTTTGAGAAGGGTGTCATAAATCGTCTCCAAGTTGTATATTGATAAAAATTTAAGATATTCCTCCCCCCTCCCTCCAATGTGTGATTGTATTATCAGTTTTTATTATTGACAAATTGACAGAAGTAAATTAAATAATTTATTCCTTTAGAACTTAGAATCATAACGTAGGGTAAAACAAACAGATAAGTTGTTATTATTGACACTAGAGGGCCCTTAAACGTTGTTATTGTAGTTGTATCCCTGAAGTTTTACTTGTAAAACGAATATATATACCTTGCATATGAAAGTTCAACCATTGGAGACTCCAGAACTGGAGCCAGAAGCTTGTGAAATAAAAGCAATGATAATAATAATACCATAAAAAAATGGAGAAAAATCAGAATTGTTTAATATATTTTTAACTTTTTGTAGACAAATACAAATGCCGAGAGAGCTGGCCCACTGTCACTGCTGAAAGGCTTTTTAACATACTGCTAGACGCGCTCCTTCTGGTTGTGCCTCTGTTTATCATGGTGGTTACTTATTCCCTCATCACCGCCACCTTGTGGAAAACTATGTGGCCACACATTAAATTTGAACAAGGTATTTATTTTCAATTCTTAGGTCTTTGTTTTTAATAGCATATATAATGTTAAGAATCACTTTCTCTCTCTCCAGCTTTTAGGTGTTGATTATTGAATTCAAACATATCTCTATCCAAAAAACATTTCTCTCAAATAATAATAATAAAACATATTAATAAATATTCCATTTTGATTCCAACTGACTTTTACGATTATACATAGAATGACCTTTATTCTGGATTTAACAGTTACTGACTAATTTTTTCTTAGGTGATGCAAATGAAACTTCAATCAGAAGTCGGAAAAGCTCAGATCGAAAGGTTCCACACAACATCCTCGTCAGAGTTAATCTCAATTCGCCATCTTCGTCCAGCTCCGTCCTGACTACTGACGTCCGAAGGACGGATATCAGCTCTGTTCAGACTGTAACCAACATGGACAGGTCACTCTCACAAAAGAAACGAGTCATTAAAATGTTGTTCGTGGTTGTCTTGGAATTTTTTCTTTGCTGGACACCGATTTACGTCCTTAATACTATTACCCTCTTTGATCCTGTCGCCATCTATCAGGGTCTTGGGTACTACGGTATCTCTTTTTTCCACCTACTGGCCTACACGTCATCCTGTTGTAATCCAATCACCTATTGTTTCATGAATTCCAAATTTCGGGGAAGCTTTATGGCCCTGTTTGGCTACAAAAGCAAGGAATGGAAATTTCGTTCCGATGGCAGTTTATCAGCGACTCTCAGGTGTGCGGCGAAATTAAAAGTATGAAAAAAAAAGCTATTCCTTTGTATTGATACTCCAGCTTGTGAACTTGGTATATCGTTTGTTATTTTAAGCTTTCTAAAGGCTTACTTTACATTTAATTAATTAGATGGCGTATTTCGTCCTAATACAAAAGTTCAATTCCTTCTTACAGGCAGTTAGAGACTTACGGTGTTCTCTTTGTAACAAATAAGAATAAAAAATATTATTATATCCTGCACGATGCTGAAGATTCTTTTTTAACAAGATTCTTTCTGTTTTGTTTCCACCAGAAAAGAATTATTTTTTACATATGTAGCGAAGCTTTTAGAAACTCCAAAAAAATTATTTATGTTTTTTATAAATGAGTCCTAATATACTGCCAGAAACCGGGTTTCGATACCCGTGATGGGCAGAGCACAGATAGCTCATTGTGTAGCTTTGTGCTTAACTTCAAACAAACAAAACATAATACACTGACATTTGCAAGGTTATTTTTTTCTTTTATCATAAGCTCAACAAACTGATTTTTTTAATAAAAACATTTGACGTATTTGACGTATATTAGAAAACGTTTGACGTATTTGACGTATATTAGAAAACGTTTGACGTATTTAACGTATATTAGAAAACATTTGACGTATTTGACGTATATTAGAAAACGTTTGACATATTTGACGTATATTAGAAAACGTTTGACGTATTTAACGTATATTAGAAAACGTTTGACGTATTTGACGTATATTAGAAAACGTTTGACGTATTTGACGTATATTAGAAAACGTTTGACGTATTTAACGTATATTAGAAAACATTTGACGTATTTCTTCTTTTTTTAATTGGTAAAAAATACACCTTTATAGGTTATTGTTTTTAACATGTTAAACAAGGTGTGTGTGTGTATAAAACATATATTTCCTTTGTGTTGTAAACACATTTTTACTCTTACATGGTGTTTATCCATTTTAAGTTTTTCGTTTTCTTAATTTCTAACCGATTTTGACCAGGCCAACAATATCTCCAGCAATAAGTTATTAAGTGCGCTATTACTTAAAGCTTCTGTGAATTTTATCCTCCCGACCGAAAAAGTTCGGGAGGGGGCGGGGGGTTGTATACAGAGAAAACATTGTCCGTTCATCTGTAGACATTTGTTTTCCGCACGAAAAGTAGAACAGATTTCAAACAAACTTTGAAACGTGGGGACATAATCTTGATTTTAGGATTACAATGTCAAAGGTCATAATTGCAATTTCAAGAGAATTGAAATTTTTGTTTCTCTGCAATAGAAAACAACTAAACAATCTCAGAGGTCATGGTTAGTACTTCAAGAACAATGACATTTTGGTTTCTGTACAATAGAAAACAATTAACCAATGTCAGAGGTCATGGTTAGTACTTCAAGAACATTGACATTTTGGTTTATGTGCAATAAAAAATAATTACATAATGTCAGAGGTCATGGTTAGTACTTCAAGAACATTGACATTTTGGTTTCTGTACAATAGAAAACAATTAACCAATGTCAGAGGTCATGGTTAGTACTTCAAGAACATTGACATTTTGGTTTATGTGCAATAAAAAATAATTACATAATGTCAGAGGTCATGGTTACTATTTCAAGAACATTGACATTTTGGTTTACGTGGAATAAAAACAACTAAAAACATACATCATATTTTTGTGAACACAACAAAACAAAAACAAATAATTAGAAGGAATCAGACGTTCTATTAACATCTATTTTTATGAAACTTGTTAAAAGACGACAAAGCTTTTGTCAAAAGCACAAACAAAAGCTCGCATTTTATGTTTGCTTGTTTAGTTTTGAGTTTTTGCGGAAAGCTACACAAGAGCTATCTGCGCATAGCTGTCCCGAATTTGGAAGCGATAGTATTACAAACTGTAGCAAAAAAAAACTCAACAATGGGTTATCTGTACTGTGTTAACCACGGGTATCGAAACTAGGTTTTCAGTGTTATAATCTTTCAGACTTATCGCTGGTCCCCCCCCCGGTGGGAAAGTGGCAAACTTATGGACTTACAACGCTTAAATCCGGGGTTCGATTCCCGCGGTTGTCACAAAATGCAGCCCAATGTGTGTGGCTTTGTTCTAGAACAAACGACAACTTATCGCTGAGCCACTGGGGGCTGAATAAAGAAAGGCAACTAGTGTACAGCACCCACCGCCAACTCTTAATGGAATTTGACCGTTGCCTTTATTTTACGCGAAGTAGACGCGAATCACAAATCCTCGTAATCATAGTCCAATCCTCCCCTCCAGTGGCACAGCGGTATGTCTGCGGACTTACAACGCTAGAATCCGGGTTTCGGAACCCGTG